ATACTCCCATGATCCTTCTCAGCCAGTTAATTTCAGATACCCTATAAGAGTGTAGTGACATAGAATGGGTCACTAGGGTGCGTAGCACTAGTTACTGGCTGAGAGGGGGATTTGTGGGTGTAGTTGCCCGGTCTGCTAGCAGGGCACGTGATAGGCCAGAGAAAGGGATGTAGGGCAAAGGCGAGAGAGGGGACGCGCGAGGTGAAGCCCAGAACCGGGGTGTGGCCGAGGGCGGAGCCAGGCCACGCTGGGGGGATAAAAGGGAGGCCCCGACTCTGGGTCGGGACTGTCGTCTGGAATGGAACCTGTCGTGCTACGTCTTCGTCCACACCTCCTCGGCGTTGTTGGTCAGGCCGTGTGCCGGCTGTCCTGACTAAGTTTATAGTTATCCCCTGTACCTGTGATGGCTGGAATAAATTACATTTGAGTGCCTCCTACTACTAGTGTCTCCGAAGTGATTCACTACAATAGCACTGAGTGTTTTATATATATGAGTGTAATATATGCAAACTGCATCTCAAAACACTGCAAAATCCACAAGCACGAAGGTGCATATCTATTAGATGTTTTCAGCCTATTAATCAGCATTTATACGCGTGGGAGGAAACCGGAGCACTCAGAGAAAATAAATATGTGCGAGTGGAACACAATGCCATACAGATGGAACAGGTGGAATGTGTATGTTGAACTTCTTTTGCACGTTACACGTAGCCAACAGTGCTCATCAGAAGTGCAGGGGAAGGACAACAAACTGAACACCAAAAGTTGTTCTAAAGATATTAGTTTAAAATGCAGAGAATATAAAAATACATAGCTCGAGTGGCTATACTTGCCTTCCCTGTGCGAGCCAGGTTACAGCACATCGATGCCCAGGAAGGGAGTTTAGCAACATTTGTGTGATCCACCAATCGTCACCTCTGAAGTGCTGGAATACGTGTGCGAAAAGCACCGCAAGTATTCTTCTGTTATCCTCTCCCCTACGTATCGAGCAGTAGATTAGAAATGGGATCAACAATGCCTAGTAGGATTTTGGCTGGCCTTAGATTGCCTTTGCTTCAACATTTTGTTACATTTTCCAAACGCTGCCAAGACTCATATAATTAATTTCCTAAAGCAATTAATTACATTACACATAACAATACCCGCCATTTGTCACTAAGTGGCAGTGACGTCACCACAGCGCCTGTGCCAGGCCAGGTGCACTTTGAGGCCACGTGACGTGTCGAAGGCTCTCCGACAGGTCACGAGACAGATCAAATTGCTGTGGGTTGACTGACTGAGTTGACTGGCAGATACAACAGCTGTACCCCCTACTGTGCTACACACACAATGTACAAAAGTGAAAGGGAATGCAGAAAAATCCATTGTTGTAACTGTACCCCTATCCTGCCGTGTCTATTACTCCCCATATTCACCAGCCCGTACTGACCAGCTTGGTAAAAAAATCGAATAACCCCCACTGCCTGCACGGCGTGAGGGAGGTCCTCATCCAACAGTGGGATGACAAACAAGCTGTACATGATCACATGTATATGTACATGTTGCTGTACTGGCATGTAATGATGATCGTGGGTGGGTGAATGTCACTACAATCCAAAAAAAACACAATTACTCAGCAACACAAGCACACGCGTGGGCAGTCCCAAGAACTCTGATGCAAATGTGTAAGCCGAGTAGGGAACGAGAGTGGGGGAGGGGGGCGGTTGTGTGGGGAGAGGGGTGGGGGGAGGGCTTGGACTCCCCACAGAGTTCACTCCTCTCTGGACACATACGAACGCCAGCACACTCCTTACACATTCACGATAAACAGTGTCGGCGAGGCAGGTTCCACATTTTACGCAGATTTACCAAATCATTCAGTACCCTCCCCTATTGTTTTGTGCATGTCAACAGAGAAGTACAGTCATCTATAATCTGTCGTCGGTCAATCTCGCAAAAGGCACCAACATCGTGACTCCTTCCCCCTCTCTGTTCCTCCAACCTAAAGAGCCACTTCTAGAAAGATCGACCGTATTCTTTGGTTTATAAGACGCTTCGGAAGACTCCTTCCAAACTCGTGCCCGTTGACCATTAAGTCACACACACGTGGTCGCACGCACACAATAAGACCTACAGAATTAGAAGACGCACCACCAACTTTTGCTCTTAAAAGCAAAGAGGCAGGGGAGAATGCGTATTGCATTCAATACCTGCCCCAATGCTTTTGAACGTATTAGTAAAGATCTAATCTATAATCTACGCTATAGTAATGTTAATGAAAATCTAATATTCTGAGACATATCATCTGTTTACCACCTCTGTCATTCCATGGCTGGATGAAAACATGATTATTCAGTAACACTGCCTTAAAATGAAATGGCTGTTCTTCATAGCACACACACAGCGGCCATATTCACTCAGTTGAGACTACACTCTATGCCATGGGGCCCTGAGAGAATGCAATGTTCCCAATGTTACTGATGAACTGTCTCAAACTGGCAAATGAGCATCGCCGTTGTCATGGGGTCACTTGCAAGTGAGACTATACTACTGGTCTTTATAGTTATCACAGAGTAAAAAAATTCAACCTGGTATTGCTTGGCCATACTTCACCACAATGGTTAGTGTCGTTTGCTTAAGCCTTGGACATTTGTAGTCTATTACCTACCCAAAGTGGTAGCAAAGAGGTTAAACACCTCGTGGTGAAGTAGACATACTAAGGAGGATAAAAATATTCATATCGCACTTAAAATGTCTGTATTTGTCATCGCAAAGACAATGTACTCTTTACATAGTTCGTCACAATCTCGCAAGTCTTTAACATCATAAAACATTTCCTCTGCTCCCCCGACCTTAAGGGCCACTTTTAGCTAGATCGAGAAACAAAGAATGTAGATCGACAGCATTCTTCATATTATAAGATGCTCCGGAACTCATCCGAAAACATGTGCCCGTTGTGTATAAAATTACAAAGACAACGATCCCCCCCCTCCACCCCGTCAGTCCAGATTATTGGGGCAAGTTTTTTTAAACGAGCACGTATCAAAGCTGGAACGACACACGAGGGGGGTTAGTGGCCAGCACCACGCCCGGTAGCCTTCGTCGCCCTAAGTGGCGATATTTACACACCGCACAAAGTACGCATTTGAGGCCGAGTCGACCTAGGGGAGACCCAGGACTCGTTCAGATAATCGACAATGGTGTTGGCCGTGAACGGGAATCAAACTCGGGTTACCAGGGTTCGAAAAGCACTGCGCGGTAAACCGTTCCGTCACTACACACTCCCCATAAAATTACACAGCCAGTCGTATGTACACACACCACCTACCGGATTATGAAAAGAACCGCCAACTTTTATTTAGCGTGGAACATTCTACAGTGCGAATGTTGACTCACCGCGAAGTAATTCTCATGTCCACGAGTCGCCACAACAGAGGAGGTTTGATAGTTACGTGTTAAACACTTTCAGGACACCATAGGTCAAATCGGTGAGTTAAAAAGCACAGGGCACTGCAATGCCTCGGTCTCATTGTCTCACGCGGTCTTTCATGGTGTCTCCCAAAACCCATCTCTCGCACCGTCTTATGAATGTCATCCCTTTCTAAAATTGTCTCCCTGCGTCACCATCATCATCAGCCATGATCATCAGACCACTGGAAGGACTCCGTTAAGCATTGCTATGGCGTAAGCCGGTCTTCTGAAACTTTTTTGGCGCAAGGATCACTCAGCCGATGCACAAATTTCCGCGGACCACCCCCCCCCAAACCCTGGTGACAAAACGCATTCACATATCGCTAAAAAATGTCAGTGATACAAAAGTATTAATATTTCCGGAACATAATTTTTTACGCAGCTAAAAAGTTTACTTGCGAGGGGAAGATTTTAGATATTTGGGTTAGCGTAGTTTAATAAAGTTAGTTTACCTAACTTATTTTTTAAAATAATATTTCATAAGTAAAATATTAATGTCTGAAACAAATGGTATAAAGTTGTAATTATTTCCGGATCAACCTGCATTTGCATCACAGCCCCGAGGACCACATGGAAGACCGTCGCGGACCAGTGGTGGTTTGGGGACCGGAATCCCTGGTGTAAAATATCAGGCATACGATGGGAGCGATCCGATTGAATCGCTCCCATCTCCCGAGGTGCTCGTTCCCTCTGTTGGCCCCCACTCCGTCGTTAATCTCCACCACCGGCCATCAAATCCCTTTTTCGCGCCTGGTATACAGGAGGTCGTGGTTCGATCCCGACCCTGACGCCTACTATTTGGAGATTGTATATTCTCCCCGTGGTCGCGTGAATTTTTCTCCGGGTCCTCCGGTTTCCCCACCACATTTAGAGTATTTGGCTCCTATAAATGTCCACATGATAAGCTACTTCTTTGAGCTATCATTAGTGCCCAGGTCGCTTTTAAAAAAAGCTACGTAGATTAGTGGGCCTTACCCGGTAGTATTAATCGCAAGTCAATAGCGTCTTGTGTCTATGTTTCACAAAGTCCGACTCCACACTCTCACGATCGTAATCCGGCATGATTTCCTTCTTTCTCGTCTGGGCCCAGCGCTTCAGCTGCCCCCTCCCACTTTCACAACCCGCGCCGATAAGGAGCTTAATCGAATTAAACGCTAAACACACACGCGGTCACACGCACACTCATTTATACACACACACGACGAGCAGTGGAAGGGAAGATAAATTCCGGCGAGAGGTGGCAACGCCCAATGAACAACACTTCGCTGTTAGATTCGGCCTCTTCCTGTAAACCGGGCCTACCACCGGCGTGCAGCCTCGGGCTCGCCCGTCTGCCCCTACCGACGGAAGCGCGACCGATCCCGCAGGAACCGTCCCGGCGAAGGGGATTTCCACCCTAACCCTCCCCGCGGGGCCTCCGCACGACCGCGCGGTCGGGACTCGGTCGGGACCGCCCGATCCGAGGGAGTGGCCCCGCCGCCGGCCCTAAGCAGGGGGACGTTTGAGAGAGGCGCCGCGTGTGAGGAGCGGGAGAGGCGCCGCGCAATCACCTTCTGCAACCGCCTCGTCGCCGCCATTACGCTGTCCGGTGGTGTTCCCAGAGTGCACCGCGAGTCAGCCCGGAAAAGCACCGGGAGGGGGGTGCGGGGGACTATGAGCGAAGGGCGGGGCTCAGGCGACGGTAGGCGGGGCTATGTAAATAAATAGGCGGGGCTACGCAAAGAGTGAGGATTTACGTAAGTGTGGCGGGGCGGGGCTATGTAAAAAAATAGGCGGGGCTACGCAAAGAGTGAGGATTTACGTAAAGAGTCGGCGGGACAACGTGAAGTGTGGGCGGGGGCAACGTGGACGGTGGGCGGTGCTACACGAAGAGTGGGCGGGGCTCGGTGCAAGTCCGCAGAAAGTTCTGGAGATGGGCGTAGCTAGCGCAGCAGTAGGCGGAGCTTCGCGTAACAAACTCCACGTTCCTTGGCCGTGAAAGGAAACACAAACGTATAATAGGCGACGCTTCAAGCAATGTCCTTTATTTATAGGGCATACATAGAAAGGGAAAGACAGATAGAGTTAATGAAAGTTGGAGACTGCACTTAACATCATAGGGTCTCATAAGATTTTAAAAAATGATTAGCAGTATTTAAATAAGCTTTTGAATAGTTAAACTATCTGTAGCTCCTGAGTAACAGATACACGCCTTCAATATAATCACTAAGTGGATGCGTGAGTGGGCGGGGCTAGAGGTGCAGTGGGCGGGGCCTCCAGGAGACTTGGGCGGGGCTGGAGTCGGCGATAAGCCTCACCAGCGGTGAGCTGCTGAAGCCCGATTGGTCAGAATCTAATCATCGTCGTCACCGTGGCTATCTTGTCGGGTGGTGGAGGGTTAACGACACAATATTTGGGAAAATTAATAAAACCTACCACGTGGCCTCACCAAAAAAGATATGGATCAGACTCGTCGTTAAATATTTATGTGAACACAAAATTCCAATTCGTCTCGCTCTGGAGAACATAAATAACATAACAACTAAGCCGACAGCACGCCTCTTTCCCATGGCTGCTCCTACACAAACGTTTTTTTACACATCCCATCAGCAACACGGCCTTCTGGGAGTGCAGAATCCCGGCAGCATTGGTTCAACACAAACAACCTCAAAACCGGTTTTGATACTGGGTGTTTAATCAACAGAGCCAGGCTTGCTGGAATCAATGCTGGCGAACTGCCAGATCAGAATAAGAATATTTATTTAAACTGGAGGAATACGATGAGCTATAAAGCTCTTTTTCACAGATGTACTGTAGGAGCAGGTCGGAACGTTACGAAGACACACAATACAAAAACACGATAGCAGTGCAAAGTAGAGAAAAGGTAAACAAATCACTTTAAAAATATACAAGTAAAACGAAACTATTTTTTTCATCTTACCAAGTATAGTGAGTTCAACTGAGTTGTACTCTTTGGAGGCAACACATTTATTGATACCAACACAAACGGGTAACTGCCCCTTCACCAGATAATAACCTATGGTGGTGGACCACCAGGCTAACGACACGAACGACACTAATACACTGGGAGTAGCTACAACGGACAGGACCCCACCTTGGCTCCAGGTCCACGTGTTGGTGACTCTGCACGAACGTCGAATGTAAATCTTCAGATTACAACAACTTGAGTTATTAACATTAAGTAACTGGGTATACATTACACTATATAATGACTACCATATAGTGAACCGATAAAAATATATATAAAGTACATCAATATCATCAATATACTCAATTTACACTCCAATAAAAAAGATTAGTTGGAGGCATATTATAATACTTTTTGCGACATAGAAGTGTAATGTATAATGACTTATTATTCGTAGTTCAGCTTATTGGAGAGTAAATTGAGTATTTTGATGATATTGATGTAGTTTCTATTTTATTTAATTCCTCACATTAGCATCATGCTAATCTCCTAGTTACATGCTAATTTCTCACCTTAACATCCTGCTAATCTCTTAGTACCTTTCAGTGTAATGTTTAATATAATTTATTTGGTAATATATAGTATCGTAATTGGATAGTGAATATACAGCAGTGTGGCATACAGTAGGGTTTGTAAAATAATACAGTGTAATATTACAAGTCTAATATTATTATCATCTAAGGTAGTCTATAGCAACGCAGTGTATAATTCAATGTTGGGGTCTATCTATGGCAGTTTATAATAAAAAGATTAGTTGGAGGCATATTATAATAATTTTTGCGACATAGAAGTGTACTGTATAATGACTTATTGTTAGTAGCTCAGCTTAGTGGAGAATATATTGAGTACATTGATTATATCATCATCATTAGACCTCCCTTACCAGTACCAAAATGTAATAATAGGGTTTTTCCCCTTTTTTCTGCCAACAAAACTAAAACCTTTTTACAAGGATTCATGTCTGCATTAACCACAATACCTGCAGTCAAAATGCAAACAAAAAACATACTATGATAATATATGCATTGTCCACACCAAGGGACGGCTTTCTTTTGAGCCTCGACCCAATTGGTACTCGACCAGATGACGCCAAAAGGCTTCATCATCAAAGGCGTCATCTGTTCGAGCACCAAGTGGGTCGAGGCTCAAAAGAAAGCCGTCCCTTGGTGTGGACCAATCAGTTTCAAGGACAATGCATATATTATTATAATATTTTTTTGCATTTTACTGTAGGTATTGTGGTTAATGCAGACATGAATCCTTGTAAAAAAAGTTTCAGTTTTGTTGCCAGAAAAAAGGGGAAAACCCCTATTATTACATTGATTATATTTATGTAAATTTTGATTAAAAGCTTTCGTGACTGCAGTGATTCATATTCTTGGTTCTTTCGGTAAAGTCACGTTGAAGGGAAATAATAAAATAATAAAATATATAAAACAATAAAATTCTCACGACGTTTCGACTACAACACAAACAGTCATCATCAGGTGTGAAAACCAACGGCAAGAAACATTTGAAAGAAGTGGCAGTTTGTATTTATTTATTTTCAAACGGTGTTTGCATTTATTTATTTTAAGCGTTGGCACCATGGCTAGCGATTTGACAGTTTGTTTAGAAGGACGAGTCCATCTATGTTCGGAAAAGAGAAGGGGGGAGACGAAAATTTAATGTATGCTGTCTGAAAGCCACCGTAAGCGTGAACAATCAATTAAGACCCGAAATGGTTTATCAAATCCTTCCAATGATTGCTAAGCCAGAATCCATCTTCTCGTTTGAAATTGTCTCTGTGTTTGTATATGGGGATAGCCTCATGAACGAATCTCTCATGGTAGCCCGATGGCTTACAAAGAACCTCTGTCTTGGAGAAGTCAATGTCATGTGAGCCCACTGAATTATAACAGTGATCTGCCACGGCTGAGGTGTTGGTCCTACCGTGTTTAAGGTCTGCTTTGTGTTCACGAATGCGGTCCGAGACATGTCGTTTGGTTTCTCCAATGTAACTACTACCACAGAGGCAACTTAGTTTGTAGACAGCAGAGTACTGTATGTCCGGAATCACATCTTTTACAGACGGAACCAGATCACGGATTTTATGTAATGTGTTGAAACGGACCTGGATCTTGTGTTTATTCAATATTTTGGAGATCTTTTTTGTGATCCCCGCACTGTAGGGTAAAGTGATGGTTTTGAAAGGCTCCTCAAGAGGGTCCTTCCTCATGGTTTGAGTGATAGCTTTGCGGATTGTATATTCGGAGTAACCATTAGCCTTAAGAGCTTGGTGTACGTGCTTGAGTTCACTGCCTATGTGTTCCTGGTTGGATATGCATTGGGCTCTATGGTGCAGAGTCTTGATAAGAAAATTCTTCTGTGATGGATGGTGGTGGGAATCCGGTTTCAGATAAGCATCCGTATGGGTAGCTTTCCTGTAGACAGAGTGGCTCATTGAACCATCAGGTCCCTTTTTTATTAGGACATCCAAAAAAGGTAGCTTGCCATCTTTTTCGACTTCCATGGTAAATCTGATGGCTGGGTGTATGGAATTGATGTGGTCGAAGAATTGGTCTAGAGCAGGCCGGTCATGTGGCCAGATGACAAAAGTGTCATCCACGTACCTCTTCCATAAGGTTGGTCGCACAGTGGCAGTCTGGATGGCGTCAGTCTCAAATTTCTCCATGAAAATGTTGGCTATAACCGGAGATAGGGGGGAGCCCATTGCGGTGCCCTCAGTTTGTTTGTAGAAAGTTCCATTCAAAGTGAAGTATGTATTAGTTGAGCAGTGTCTCACCAGGGGGGTACCTCAGTGTTTAGTCCTTGATGAACAAAGTCTTCAATGATTGCGATGGTGTCAGGTACAGGAACTTTGGTGAATAAGGAAACTACATCAAAACTGACAAGCAGGTCGTCTGGGGACAGGGAAATACCCTTGATTGTCGATACCAGGTGAGTAGAATTTTGTACCACAGAGGTGTTTTTTCCAGTGAAAGGCCGCAGGATTTCAGACAGAAAACGAGCCAGTTTGTAGGTGGGGGAGTTGATAGTAGAGACGATGGGACGAAGGGGTGTATCTACTTTATGTATTTTGGTAAGCCGTATAATCTTGGTGGCCTGGCAGCAGAAGGTTTCAACGAAAACTGTTTAGTTTGATCAATTAATGCGGTTGAATCAAAAATTATTTAGATGGTTTGTGTGACGAGGCTGTTGGTGGGATCTCTTTTAATTTTTGTATAGCTGCCATCGTCGAGTAATTCTTTAATTTTGTTGTTATATTCTATTTTATCCATGATGACAGTAGCATTGCCCTTGTCGGCTGAGAGGATTACAATGTCATCCCTCTTTTTTAATTTATATAATTCAAAACGCTCATCTTTGCTAAGGTTGCTAGCTGGCATCTTAGCGTTTTTGAGGGTTGCAGCGATTTCAGATCTTGCTACGTCTGCAGCAATGTGACCCAGGCCCTTGAGAGCAACGTCTACTTGGGCAATGATATAATTAACTGGTATGTGTTTAGGTGTGACTGCAAAGTTTAGACCTTTAGCTAAAACGGATTTCAGACCATCGGAAATAGAACTGTTACTGCAATTAATTACAACTTTGTTAACGTCTAGCTTTTTGGTGTGTGGGTCCGGTCTTTTGTTGGAGAGGAGGTTAAATTTGGAAATCAGGTTGTCCTTACATTTGATCGACATAGTAGCAGCTGAAGAGGCAGTCATATTGTCTACATGTTCCCAATCCGATG